AATATAAATTGGTACAACCACATTAGCCAACAATTTGAAGGATTCTTAGAAAGTAAACATATGCTATACTAGAACCTACCCAGTGCTGCCGAGTCTGTTTTGACTCAATGACCCTAAAGGACAGAGTAGAATGACTCCCTAGGGTTTCCAAGCCTGTAAATTGTTATAGGAGCAGACATCATCTTTCTCTCAAGGAGCAGCTGATGGGTTTGATTTGCTGACCTTGTGATTTTGACTCACTGCACCATATGCTTACCACAGAATCCAGAGATTCTACTCTTAGGTATTTACCCAAGGGAAATGAAAATATATGGCCACAAAAAGACGTGGACGTCAAAATTTTTAGTCGTTTTATCCATCTGGAAAAACACAGATGGCTATCAACAGATGAAGAGATAAAAACTGTGAAATATTCATATAATAAGAAACTATTCAGCAATAAAAAAGAATGAACTGTTAATCACATAACATTGATGAATTTCAAATATATACTGAACTAAAGCAGAAATAAGAGTTCATACAGTATAATTTGATTTACATGAAAGTTTAGAAAGGACAAAATTGATTTTTACTAACAGAAATCACACCAGTGGGTGGGTGCCTAGCGTGAATATGTGCTTAGAAGTACTGAATGGGAAGAACACAGAGGGAAATTTTTTGGGGGGATGGAAATGTTCTATACCTTGGTGGCAATGGTGGCTACATTTACCAAACCTTCTCACTCTGTACTCTTAAATATATACATTTTACTGCATGTAAATTATATCTTAATAAATTGGATTTACATGAGAAAAAAAGAGTGTGGAGTCCTGGTGTGGCACTGTGGGTTAATTATCTGGACTGCAGTCGGTTTGAACCACAATGTCAGTGGTTCAAGCTCAACACCTGTTCCTCAGAAACCTTATACAGGGTCGCTATGGGTCAAAACCAACTCGACGACACTTAGCTATAACAATAACAAGCTTTTACTTTTCCCTCTCTCAAAATATTCTTCTATAAATCAATAGCTATGTAGTCAGGATAAATAACTCATTACTCTGTGCAAGTTTCCTCATCAGGAAAATAAATGAATAAAGTAAGTTCATTCATTCATTCATCTAATAAACATTTATTAATGCCTATGCACTCCTGGTGTGGTTCTGTAGGATCAGCACTGGACTGCGAAATACAAGGTTGGCAGTTCAAATTCACCAGCTGTTCCTTGGAAACCCTATACCAAATCGCTATGAGTTGGAACCAACTCAACAGCACTTAACAACAACATGGGCCACAAGAGTCCTGGTGTAGTGCTGTGAGGATAAGCACTGAACTGCTAATTGCAAGGTCAGTGGTTCAAACTCCTTGGAAACCCTATACAGGGTGCTATGATTGGAAATTGACTAGTTGGACTGACATAATAGCACTTACAATAACGAAGCATAAGGAACCCTGGTGGGTTAGGCATTGGACTGCTAACATCAAGGTTGGTAGTTCAAACCCACCACTGCTCCACAGGAGAAAGATGAGGCTGTCTGTTCCCTTAAAGAATTACATTCTTGCAAATTCGACATAGGGTCATTATGAGTCAGAATAGACTCAGTGATAGTGGGGTTTTTATGGGGCATAATAGACAAAAGAATAATTGAATTATGGTGCTGGTGAAGAATACTGAATGGATTGCCAGAAGAATGAACACACGTTTGTTGGAAGAAACCAGAATGTTCCTTAGAAGCAAGAATGGTGAGACTGCATCTCACATACTTTGCATATGTTATCAGTAGGGTTCAGTCCCATGGCTGGTAAAGTAGAGGGACAGTGAAAAACAGGGAGACCTCCAACAAGATGGGTTGACATCATGGCTGCAACAACGTGCTCAAACATAGCAACTGTTGTAAGAGTGACACAGGTCTGTAGTTTCATTTGGCTGTCTACAGGGTTGTTATACACCACCACCGCTATCTAGAGATATAACGCTGAAAACAACTGTTTTGGTTTATCAAGGAGTTGAGTCGAGTGGAAGAGAAAGACAAGCTAACACATGATTATGATGCATCTTGTGACTATTAAGGTATAAGGCAGTCTTCCCTGGTGAGATGATGCCTGAGTTAGAATTTGAGATACTAGTAAGAGGTAATGAAGGAAGAGAAGGCATTCTGATTTGAGGGACTTGTATGGACAAAGGGCCAAAGGAGAGAGACATGTCATGTGTTCGGCCAACTTCAGGCAGTTCAGTAAGTCTGTGACACAGAATTCATTCATCCTTGGCAGTGAGTGGTTGTGACTTGGAAGGAAATATGTGAAAAACAAAGAACAAAACAACCCACCCCCACACTTTGAGCGTAAACAATGTATAGACAGGGATTCTGTACCAAATAATAACACCCATGTTATAGAGAACTCCTTACAAAGTAAGATGATTGATTGTCATGATCAGTGAGGGTTCTTTCTGAAGACAGAATCTTTAGTTGTAAGAAATCCTGGCAGGCCTGGTGGGGTGTGAGCTCAACATTCCCTATTCTTAGGTTGTAGCAATTCTATAGTCTACATTTTCTCATGTTCATATTCAACTTCCTTGGAAGATCAAACCAGTCTCATAAGCCAGCCTCACAGCCCTCACTGGGTTTACAGACTTCACAATGATCCTGGGAGCAGTTCCTGTGGTCAGAGGGATGGGACCTAGTGACTGGCTTGGCCAGGATCCAGAGTAAGGTGGGGTTGGTCTTAGCTTCACCTGAGGTACATGGGAGTTGGGTTAGTCTTCAAATCCAAATTAGAATCTTTAGGAAAAATGGAGAAGAGTTTCTAAGTAGGAATTGCTTTTTAAGAAAAACAGATGCCAACAATTTGCAGAAGCCAGGTGACATTACCACATATGGGCAGCTTTCTTTATTTTCTATACCTCACACACTGGTCAGTGAGAATGGACTTGAGAACTTGGTGAGTTTAGAATTAGAACATGCAGACACACCATTATCAGTTAGCGGTCTAAGCACCATATGATGGATGGACAGTTTTATAAGAACACAGAGAAGGGCTTAATGAATTTTAATTTACAGCCTCTGAGGTATCTTCACAATACAGGAGATTTCTCAGCTGCCCTCTGGCAGAGACACAAGCAAGTGGCCTGGTGGGATCCATGTGTGATCTGGTAAGGCTGAGGTTTAGGTAAACAGGCATGTTGTATGAGCAGAACGGAGAGAACCAAGCTGTGAAGAATTTTTCCTGCCATCATACAGAGCTGGGATTTTATTCTTGAAGCAACGGGGAGCTGTTGACTTCTAAATCTATTTAGAAAGCTGTAAGAATCAAACCAACACTTCTCAACACAAGTGTTGGCAGAGAAAGCTAAGTTTTGAGACAGAAGGCTAGAGACGTCCGAGTCGAATTCTCTGTATGTTCCATGGGTAGGCTGGGTGAGCACGTGCTGAGTCTGAGGGGTACTATGCAGTTAAGGCAAACTGGAAATTCCTATCTGCCTGAAGGCATGACAGGAACATTCTGGTCAGAAAGAGTTCAATAAACTCTTCCATAATATGTATGCATATTATATGGTGGATGGGTGAGCTACATTTTATCAGTGGGTAAACTGAAATCCAGAAGGACCAAATACAATTTGTCTATTAGGTTATTTCTCCATTAGTATCAATGGTCATGGAATAATTATAGAAGCATCACTAGTGACTAATCCTACTGGCAGAGGAAATGTGAAGAGAGTCACTGGCTATTAGGAGATGGCTTAGAGGTGCGGGTGGAAGGAAGATAAGGGAGGTAGAGTGAGGTGACATAGTTAGAGATGAAGTTCCTAACTGGAGTGGGAAAGGCATCCGAGTGGCCTCAACGCAGGATTTGAACCGGCAGCCAAAAGTAGCCATGGCAAAGAGGGGTTTGTGGCAGCAGTAAAATATGTGGCTTTGGGGTTCCGATTCAGAGTGATTAGGAGTTACCTGTTCTAAGAGAAAGGATCTACTATACGTTATTTAGTCCTCAGTAAGTCGGCAAGTGCCAGGTGACTACAAATCCACGACAGAGATTCTCAAACCAATAACTGCTACACTTAGAGTCTTGTCTTGATATATACTTTCTAAATAAGATTCATTAAATACATTTGGATCAAATGTAATAAAATTCTAGGCAACCCATAACAGTATCATTCTATCAATGTACAGTTCTGTTGAAGTTATCAGCATCTTAAATTTGAGTTCAAAATGGAAAGATAATCATTTTAGACTCTCCCTCTCCCAAAACAGAAACGGTAGGCTTTTAGTAAACAGCACAAAATTATGCCCATTATTTTAATAAAGACTGATGCCGTCCATGTCTCGTCCCCCCTTTAGCCCTTATGCCCTGGCAGTGCACATCCTTACATCAAACGTCAGTAAGGCGGGTGTGGCTTTGAGCCTTGCTTCCTTTCATTTCCCAGGGAATCCTCTTTGCATGCTTCCAAAGTAACAGGATCTGGCAACAGACCTCACAGTGCCAAGTCTTCTAGGAGATGGAAGGTTGTGAAGTTTAAATGACCACCTCAGAATCCCCTGACTTTTTTTCAGAGTGACACTGTCCTGGGGAGAAAACTGTATTTGACCTTTCCAGTAGAGACCTTCAAAGGAGAAATAAAATGGAATGGGATAAAGAAGCTCTCTGGTAAGAGAAGTTGCCCAAAACATCAGCATACATTGGATTGCCTACTTAAAAGCATTATCTTGTTTCTCCACCCTCCAGACCCCACCATGCCTGTGAATAAAGAGCGATTCCTAAGACAAAGTAACACATTACCTACTGGTAGATTTGCAAACATACATAAGAGAATTGTCCTGGACGCTCCATAACCGCTTCAAGTTTATTAGAGTGTCCTCAGTTCTTATTGCATATACCATCACATGCCTTTTACAAGCCAAGATTCTATATACAGGATACGCAATTTAGCAGAAATGATGTCTGTTACTCCTCTTTTGAAGATCAGCAGCATGCAGTGCAATATTGGGTGTGCAGTTATTATTTCAAAAAGTGAAAAACTACTTCGGTTTAACTGCAAAGGGAACATGATCTTTATTGGCTTATATGCAAAGTTGAATTTTGGTTTTATGCAGAGTTTGCATAGTTCATGATTCGTTTCTAATGAAAAGCTAGATGTGTTGTCAGTGACCTTGAAGGCGATCAGGTGACAGTAGCAAACAGAAAAATTTGAAGAAGAGGCATCACTTTTAAAGTGGAAAGGTCAGCAAGAACTGCCTGAAACAAAACATAAGAAAGAGTTATTAGCAGCAGGATTACAATTGGCAAAGTCAAGTCTGGAGAGGCGAGTACAACAAGAACACCGTGAACAGGGCAGTTCTGGTTCCAACACACACTCCAGCTACTCTGGATTGTTTCTGTTGCTCTGGACAGCTTCCTTTCACTTTTCCAAACTTCTCCCTGCAGGGACGTGTGCAAAGTGCTAAATTGTGCAGTAGAAAATAACCTGGACTTTGGCCTTCAGCCTTCTTCAAATATACAAGGTAGTATGAGTTTCTAAGAGGTCTAACAATTCCACTTGCTTCTATAAATAAACGTACACTAAGAATCCTAGTCCTGATATACTAGTCTAAGGAGCAACTGACTTCAGGAAATCATTCTGAGATGAAACTAATGTTTATTCAGTTGTAACACACATAAACATCCCCTTCCTTTAAAAAAAAAAAAAAAAATGAATGTAGGCGGCTGTTTTAAGAACAAAATTTATGTTTCTATGAATGATAACAGAGAGTAATAGGGTAAGCCACTATTTAATTGGACCCTATTTCAGGTATAAATCATGCCATTGAAAAAAAATCTGCCTTAAATAATTAACTCATGATGAAAAACTATACAAAAAGGTCTACATATCATTCTGATATCATCCAAATCCAACCCTCTGAACTAGGCTTTCTTTGTTCTATGAGCATGACATTTGGATGTGAACAATGAGAAGAAAATGCAACAGGACTCTGGATAGTTTTTACTGGCATTGCTAGATTTCTAGTTTCTTATCCTGGTTTCCTATCATTTTGTTTATGACCCTTTTGCAACATTACTGGTTTCAACTCGTGAAGGAAGTTTGAATAGTCAATGACACTTAGCTCAGAACTGACAGGTTTGGTCCAAGTTAAAAGGAGAGTCTGAGAGCCATATGTGATCTATCTGTGCATCTGAGACCCAAGTGGCTGAGGTTGGCACTCTTTCAGGAACTATTTCCATCCCATCGCAGTGAAACTTATCCTTACTTCAGCTGCAGCCAGTGACGTCACCTCCATCAGGTTCACCGCTCGGAAGGCAAACACGGCAGCTGCCAGCACTGGAAAAGAATGCGCACTATTTCAACTGGGTACACTGGAGACACTGACTGCTACGCCCACAACCAACGAGGAGCACTCAGAACCAGTGCTTCACACGACCACACACCAGCAATTTTAGGGCCAGAGGAGGAATGGAAATGGTTTACTGCATCTGGCGGGCAGGGCCTGACAGCTGGACACACTGAATCCTATGTGTATGTGTGTGGCAAGGGGCAGTGGGAGTGGGGAGGCGGTGGGGAAAACCATTTTATGGATTGCTTCCTTCATATCAACTAAAGATGTAATGTTTCAAAATGGCCTGAGGAGCCAACGGCTGTCTTACAAATCTCGGTGTATTTTGATGCAGGTGAGTTTGACTCATCCACTAGGGCACTTCTCATGTGCTATTGTTGAGGCCGGAGGTCCTCACTGATGTCTCATCCCTGACAGGATAAGCTGTGCTTTCTGGGCATCACCTTGCCTGCTGCCCCTCAGGGTGGCTTCTCAGAGGCGGCACATAGATGATATTGCCATGATCATCCTGGGCTCTGCGGCTACAGGTCAGGGGCCAGGCTTCTTTGTGGCCACACACAGAGGCGACTGCAACCAGTGACCAGGAAGCAGTGGCATTTTTCTACAGGATGACAGAATTTGGACAGTCTAGCAAAAAAGCATTAGGTTAGTGAGAAAGGAAGACTGTGGTTAAAAAAAAAAAAAAAAAAGAGGTCAAAGTGGTGAAAGAAATTAAACTGTAAAGTTGTTGTTAGTGTAGTCATTGAGTCATTTCTGACTCATATTGACCCTGTTTAGGGTTTCTGAGGAGCGGCTGGGGAGTATGAACTGCCAACCAGGTGGTCAGCAGTCCAGTGCTTCCTGGTGACCGGTTGTAGTTGGCCTCTATCTGCGGCCCCAAAGCAGCCTGACACCTGACCTCCTCCCTTCTGAACCCAGGAGGGTCATGGCATCATCATCCACGTGCCGTCTCTGAGAAACCATGCCAAGTGCACTGGCATTATTCAATACATACCAAATAATGCCAGAGACCTGGGACCCAGAACTTACTGCTGAATTGAAACAGACCCTGTAAATACTTCAGAGTCAACAGGATTGTCAACCTAGAAGCGTTGCTGTGCACTGGTAACTCCTTCACAGGTTCTCCTTATCTGATGGAGACAGATTAGAAGTGAGTCGGTGTGAGCACAGATTTTGTTTTCTGTGTTGAATAACTGCAACAGAGTCAATGAAAGCTTGGCAGGATGGTCACATTTTCTGCTGAAACAGGAAAGAGTTTTATGTGGTGGGGAATTGTTTTGCCAAAGGTAGATGAGGGGGTGAAAAAAGAGCAGTCCATGAACTGACCTCAGCACACAAAATGCTCATGTGCTCATCAGCTTTATTTATCTTGGTGTCACATCACAGAAGTTCCTTTCTGTTCACTTCGTGTTTGGTTTGCCCAGCCCTTCCGCAGAAAGAACTGGTTGCCAAGTTGAAAAGATCTATACTTTGGGATGTTTTCAACCGAAAGCATGCTTCATATGAAATTTAAAAATTAAGGTTTACTTTTGGTCTTTTAAACTATTCTCAATATTTTCATAGTAAGCAATTCAATCATGAGAATTAAGACACTTTTGCTTCAAACTGTTCTCCCAAAATCTTAAATTAGCTCACAATTAAAGTCAATGATAGCTGCTAAAATAGTTATAAGGATTACACAATAAATCATTTGCGTACAAAATGTCATCCAAACCTAGTCATACAAAAATATATACTATGATCAAAACTAATTTGTAGACACCTAAATGAAATGATCCACCTGTGTGGCTCTTGATCTGGATTACAAGAAAGAGCTGTGAGTAATGCTGGTCCGTTGCTACATGTCCTAGAATTTTTTCCTGTTGCTTTTCCAGAAGCACTCAGGAAAATGGGCGAATGGGACAATAAGGGTTACCTTTCTACTTTCTCATCAGTAATGTTTGTATTAATATAGTAAGCTCACAGCAGAGCCCTCAATACACATTTATGTTTGTTGTTGTTGTTGTCAGGTGCCATCGAGTCGGAACCGACTCATAGCGACCCCATGCACAGCAGAACGAAACAATGTTTGATCCTGGGC